AAAGGGTTTCTACCCGAAATCTCTGATTTGAGGCCTGTAATTCAAAAAGCTGCACATGTTTACAAGCAAGCTCTTCCCCTCCACGCAAACACGTCGCTCTGTGACTCATTATTGGAAACTGTCACAACTCTGTGACGACAGGATGGCAATCTCAGACCTGCAGGGTGCTGTCCGGAACCAGATAAGACATGTCATTGGTGGTATCAGCACAGCTGTCGTGTTTAACAGAGCTTTGTGCCAACTACTAAGACAAAGCTTTAACCAAGTTCACAGAATCACCGAGACTCGTAACGATTACCTCTCTGCATTGTGCTGTAAGGACACTTGCTAATTTAGTAGAAGGAGGGAGCATTTAGGAAAGGGTTTAGTAGCTACCAAAAGTACTTAGCCTCGAGCAACCAATAGTAATGCAAACTTGCTTTAAAGGAACCAAAGGCATTGCCAAGTATTTGCCAAAAGGAGGCACTTTTTATTTAAAAGTTGAGACTAATGAGATCTCAAAATCAGTCCCAAAAAGGTATTATCCATTTAAGGTTATAATTTTCACAAAGATGTAGATATTTCTCTATTGTTTTCATGTAAAATAGTATAGATTTGTTTTGTTGGGTTAAGAATAATACATACTTAGCAGTAGGACAAAGTTTTTTCCTTTCTATGTACAAGTTGGCTTTCTTTTCTTGCTTGCAATAGAAATGCAATGTGATAGGTGTTTCTCTTCTTCTTTTCATTGTCACACTATGTCTTAGCATCTCACTCTATGAAAAAAAGGAAAAAGATACCAATCTACAGAGCCCTGCTTACTGAAGCACTAGTCTAATAAACAAAAAATTATGGCAATCGGGGGTCCATTCATGTATTGCCTTTATGTTGTTTTTTAAAAGAAAAACCATGATGCCTTTGTATTTGCTGTTTGCACCCCTGAAGTCAATTCCATATCATGTTTGAATGCCATACATTTTGCACATGTACTGTACATAGGTAATGCATACTGTATTTTTATATGTGTGCGCATTTATCATCAGATCTTTTGTACATAGTGGCAGTATTGTAGCTGATTGGGAAATGTTTGATATCTCAGCAATTTTGCATTTTTGTGTCTCAAATAAAAAAAACATTTTGATGTACTATGATTTGTGCTATGCGGAGGAAAGACCACACCCTACGGGGCAGGAGAGCAATTGCAGACGTTCAGGGTGGGCAGGGGGTGGACCTGGAAGAGACACCGCCTTTGGAACACACCTCACGGCAGACACAACACACACACACGCACGCACGCAACAAGCCGGAAGCCGGCACGCTGAGGCCCCTCCCCCAGGTCCAGGACCGCGGGATACAAAACAGAAACAGGTACCAGCTGAACTTGAACGTGGCAAGATTTACACCAGAACTGTGTGCATTGTCCCCAATCGTAAGGAAACCCTGAATGAGAGCCGTGAAGGTGTCTCCCCCCGGGGGTTGGGGATGATGATATGTACACACACGCATGGTGAAAAGGGACTCACTCTGACAGTAATAAATGAACCACCAACAAAATTCCTGAGAGACCAGGTAATCATACGGCTTAGCCAGGTTTCAAAAGCAGCTGTTTACACAAGGTGTTTTTATAGAACACAGAGAATGGTCTTTAGAATTCAGTATTCTTTTAGTAAGATGGCATTTGATTTTCAACCCCAAAGCCCATGGTTTAAAATAGAGTTCTGAGGAAAACAGCATATTTTCCTCCTTGCTTTGATGAAATAAAATGGGGACGAGTAAACCTGATTGACAGCCATAACTTTCCAATGATCAACCTCAGGAAGGGAGAGAAGAAAGGCCACTGGTTAATTACCGAAATACAGCAAAATGTGCCTTATCGGGGACATTTAGGGCCCAAGAGAGCAGCCTCAACAGACCAGTAAGAGACGGTGCTTCCAAGGGGCTGAAACATTTGTAACATCACATTACCAACCAAGATCCTGCCCTCAGAGAGAGAAGTCAGGTCAAAGGGACCAGAGGAAGCCCGAGAAATGAGCAAGGGACCGAGCTGGGAGCTTTAGGGAAGCTATGTGGGAGAGATGTGTCCAGACATGGGAAGGACACTCCAAGCAGAGAAAACCACTTGGGCGAGGTCAGCGTAGACCAGAGATGTTGGCCAAGTCTGGGCTCTGGGCCAGGCCG